GTCGTCATCTTTCAATTTACGGATTAGACAAATATTTTAGTATGCGCCCCATGTCTTGACCAATAAAACACAAATGGGGCTTAGCAGTAACTGTTTTCTTCTTCAAAGTCGGATATGAGCACCGACGGCGAGAACCGTGAACGCTTCAAGTAAGCGATATGCTAGTTCCTCGTCAAAAACATGCGCTTCAGAAGCCAATGTTTTTGTCAGTCAACATTCTTAAGGACCATTTTATTTTAAACTTTGTTAACTTCGTGTAGGGGCGGGTGAGGGATCATACGAACTCCCTCGCAGGGTAGGTGAGGTAGGTGGCCCTTTGAAAATAAAAAGAAATTGCGTCTTGTACTTATTGCGTTTGTACTTTTACATATTCTAGGGGTAATAGAAATTTATTTTTTGATCGCAGTATCGAAAACAAAGATGGCCTCGTGTGTCGCGGTTTTCTACTAGACGGTAAAATTCCGTACTGGTAACCAAAACTCACCTTTAAAGAATTCAAAATGGTAAGGAATAAACATCAAGAACACTCTACCGATAGAAAAGAGGGCAATAATGCCTTAGAAGCAATGATATCATCCTTCAGGTTGCAAGAAGGTCTGAAACACCAGGAACACTGCAGACAAGTTTAAAATGAACTTTCTCGTCAACGGCCTTGGAAATATCTCTAGTTCAACTGAATGTATCGCTTATTAAATTAGCATTCTCTGCTAGTGGAATTGTTTACGTGTTAGAACCTTTGGCATTTGGATAGCACAAATATATTTTTGGAGAACGCTTATTGAATATATCCAAGGGAAGGGTAAAGTAGGGAGGGTATAATGGCGGGTTTCGTTATGCGAGCTATCATACAAGTTTATATCCCGAATGCATAAATATCAAGGATCGAAATGAATTTGGCTAACGTGGTACTCCCTTACCTGCTTGGGCGAATATGAGTTTCGATTTACAGTCACACACATTATAGGTTCGTATGTGGCCTTGGATACCTTCTGTATAGCGTAATTGACAACACTAGATCCCTTTTTGAAAAAATATAATGAAAAATGCGTCGAGGGCGGATAAGCGCGCTTGGAATTTATTGGGCCATCAAGCAGGGGGCGGGGAGGTAGATATACTGGTCTACTGCTGCACCAACGTGCCACAAGTGAGCTGAAATCGAGTTCTGTGAACGTGCACTGTGGGAATCGTGGAAGATCGAGTTTGGATTTGAGCTAGAGTTGGACTTCGAGTTTGACTTCTTGTTTGACTGCAATAGCTTGCTCTGTCACTGCAGGTTTCAGTTCATCTTCGGCACATAAGGAGTTAGCACCGCAGCTAGAGATTACGCATGCGCAATTGTCGCCATGCGAGGGAACGGTTTACCGCCATCGTTCGAATTGGGCACAATAACTTGTAGCTTAACCTGTAGCTCAGCGTTCTTTGCCCTTGTCTCAACTGTACACAGATTGTAGGGAACATGTCGAAACATGTCATTCTTTTCATTGCAGCGAATCGTTCAGACCTTCAGAAGTTCCTCAGATCAGTGTTTGAGTTTTGTGAATCAAATGTGTGTTAACCTGAATGGCCCGGGGATTTTTCACAAGATTACACTTTCACATTTTTCTCCCTTCTCGTCAGTTTTCAATTTTTATTTTCTTTTGAAGTTTTATATCCATCTAAGTGTCACATCAACCAGGGAAAACAATTTATTTCGTTTTGTTCATCCTATACTTTTATCGTACCAGAGTAGTTGTCAACTACAGTCACGCATTATCAATGCTTGGCTTACTACATAACAATGCATGTCTTTACCTAAAGTACATAGAAGTTGGTTATGATTAAAATGCATTGTAATGCCACTTAGTCGTTTGTAAATATTGCTAACTTTTATGAATTTTTAATCATCTTAGTACCTTGGTATCACCCCAGGCAAGCTGACGCTAAAAATACATGCGAAAGATGTATTTAGTGAGGGAAAGAGACTCTGGGGAAGAAGAGTATCATAAGCTGAGATTTTTCTCTCTACCATTGTCTGTGCTTTTAAATTCGATTCTGAGGGTAAAGATATGAAGCCCCAGGATGATGTACTGTCTCTTTCTCGACAATGCAAGTTAAAGTTCAAAAATCAGTCCCGCATCAAGACTATTATAACTCTGTAACGTTGACACGGACATCGTCGAAGGCTATGCTCGTATGGGCAAGGTTTCTCATTTTATGTAACCTTAAAATGTGTTACTATAAGGTCTTCTTTTATCCAAAGTACTTATTGTTTACTCTTGACTAAATCAGTCGTAGCTGGGATGAAGAGGGCTTTGGATGTCAGACGCGTGAACTGGGATAACAGAAGTTCGTAATCGAATTCAGTCTCAGATGTGTGCCTTTGCTGTCTCTTCCATGCCTAGAATGTGGCCTCCTCTTCAGGGCCAGAGGACGCCTCTAGGGTCACGAACAGATTTAGTTTGTAACACTCTTCACATTGAGGTGACGAACGTGGCAAAACAGCGCATGTCATAAATTCAATAAATTTAAAATGGAAAATTAGGCTGGGTTATGTCTCAACTTCGGGATTTGATGGTTTTCCTTTCTTGATGAGCTGTTTTTCGCCATTGATGTTAACGATTGGCGTCTCCGTCCTGGTATGCCACACATATACCTGAAATAGATAATGGTAATATAAATAAGCACATTCAGACACATCATAGAGCGTTTAAAATCAAGATTAGCGGTAAGGACTGAGGAAGCACGTTGCGCATGGCTTGCTGGCTGAATGGGCAAGACGCTAAACTGGATCATGAGGGGACAATGAGGAAACTATTTCAAAAAAACGCTCTCTTTTCAGGATTCTCAGTAGTTTTTTCGCTCATTTTTCCTTCTTGTGTGCCTATCTACCTCGCTGACTCGTTGTGCACTTTGTTGCTACATGCTGCTCACCTTTAAACAGTTTCCGGCCTTTGGTTCCATATCCTCCATAGTGGTGATTTGATCCAGAAATGAAGTCTCCAAGAAACCTGGTTTAACATCAGGATCAAAGCGAGCAGTTGGTCTGTCTACCAATAACATCTTTAGGTTTATCGCAAACGCCGCCATGTCAATTGGAAAAGTCCTAAATGGTTTCCAGTTTGTGTGGAATCCGACGACGTGACCATGTTTGCAGATGGGCCCAGCCCATCTGGCCGCGCCAGTGAAAGCAACAGGCCACACTCCAACTGTCTGTATGTCCCGCATCTGGTGCGGAGGAAGGGAAAAAAAAATGTAAGTATGCGCTGCAGTAAGGAATGTGGCTCTACAGCACTGGAAAGCTTCTGATTGGAGAAAACTTTCCTAAACCATTTCAATGTCTGCCTGTCTTTCCAGGATTACCAGATCAAATGGAAACTACGCTAGTCACTCGAGATAGGCTTTGCGCCTCAAAGTCATTCTTATAACTGTCAATTATTTCCATCAGACGAATGATTTACGCAATCGATATTCATGGCCAATTTAGATTCTCTACCAATTTAGGCACTCTATTCTAGTTTACTCAAAATTCACTCACTCAACGACTAACTATTTGTCAATTAACGACAAGTTGTCCACTAGACTGGAAAACGATTTGTTAAATAGGTCTTACCTCTTCAAATATTCTGATGTCGTAGGTATTATCATCATCAGCGAAATAAACCACCCCTTTGGTTTCGTTAGCTTTCACATTCTTACGCAGCCAATCAAGTGCTACATTCCTTTGCTCCACTCCTCTGGACTTAGTCCAGCGCGGTTTGTTACGTGACCTTCTCATCTCCATTGGAGTCCGTACATTTAAATGAGTGTGCTTAAGACCGCAGTTACTCAAAAACCTTTTTACGAGGTTTGTCTTTTCATGTGAATCCTCGACAACTATCCAGTGGAAATTTTTAACGTGTTTTAAAGTTTGAGACAAACGTGTAAGTTCGGCCTTCTGCAGAAAGCGTCTGTAGGTAGGAGTAATGGCGTAAATAATTGGCAGCTTTGGATCCCAGCCAGACTTTTGCAAAGCTATTCTTTCCTCTAAATCTTTTAATTTCGCCTGAAGTTCTTGCTGAAGCAGTTTCTGGTCTTCAATTCTAGATTTACCCGCTAGCGTAAACGGATCTTTAGTTTCACTAAGTTTTGTGTGGACTTTGGACGTTAGGGATAGTGGTGTTACTTCCGTATTTGAAGGAGTTCTTCTGAGCAATCGAGAATCATATTGACTAATGTATAACGCTGGGGAGGAAAAAGCCGAAAGACTACAGTCAGTAAACTTGTACGGAGGAAAACAAAACTGAAAAGAACTAAATAAAATAAAACTATAAATTGACCTGTAGACTGTTTTACAGATAGCCTTCCATTCAGCCAGTTGATTGAATTTTCCTACAACGCTCAAACACCTTTAGACAGGCGAAAATATGCATCGACAATTCGCAAGTGTATAGGCCCTTTTCATAAATGGCTGCCAAATTATGCTTCTTTTGTATGCATTGAAATCAACTTCACTAAACTCGTTTTAGAATTAAAATTCTTATGAATGATCAACTCAAAAACGAAGTTAGACAGTCCTATTTAAATTTATGACTGGCAGCAATTGATGAAAAGGGTCTATTATTATGTTGAGGCTTACCTTTAATACTTGCGCTTTCAACAACTTGTTCTAGAACTTTTGTGATAATTCCAATTCCAATAAGAACTCCAAGAAAGGCTACATACTTTATAACACCTCGAAACATCTGCAATTTGAATAAAATAGTCATTCTAAATTGTAAATGCCGGTAGCTTAAGAAAAAACGATATGCCGGGCTAAAGTTAATAAATTAGTAAACTGCATGAAATAATTTAAAAATCACGATCGATCGATAGGTACGTTAAGCTGTTGTTGTAGCCTTTGAAGCAAGCAAATCTTCTTCGTGAATTTGCTGTTTAGTAAGGGCAGAGACTTTTATGCCAAAATAACGTCTGATAGACGAGCACCCAAACTCATGGCAAAGCTTATAGCATATCATAAAAGTTGTTAAGTCGCTCGTATTCGCAGTGTGAAGTGACTAACCAAGGCCAGGTTGCCCTATCCCTTTCCTAGCATTTTGATAAGTTGACCTGCAGGTCAGCGGTCCCACCACCCGGTGATGAGGAGTACGCATGCTCGTGGCCGCAGCGCCAACATCATGCATGTAATCAGATAAACGACAGGATAATGGTAACAATCAGTATACAAATAATTAGGTTTATTAATGTTAGCGCACTGATAAGTAGGATGAATTAATAACAAAGGTATCCTGGAAAATTGTATGTAATAGAAGGCTAAAGTTTCAGTTTTTGACAAAAAGAACGCTCAGAAAATGGAATGAAAACAACTTGCTATTTTCCTTAGTTTCTTCGAGAGAGGACTTAAATCACAATGGTGAAAGGAGAACTGCTGGTAACCTTGGCATTGAAGTGAACCATATAAACAGTACAGTCAGTTCAAGAGCATTCAAATGAAAATGAGAAAGACAAACAGAGCAGTAGCCTTAGCCTCTACTTCGACGAATATCTTGTAAATACTAGCGGAAATCAGTCCACTTTATTTAAAGTGAGAACCGTTGTAATCTTCTTCCTTAAAAATGATTAATATCCTACATCCAGCACGGCTGGCCATTACATAAGAAATAATAAAAGAATGGCTTCAGTGTTTTATGTTTCGAATCATTTGCCTTCAAAGAATTATTGAGATGATTGTGGTTAGCTTTTCAGAGCATAGAGCGTGGTAGATAGTGAAACTTTATTAGAAACCTGACAATAAAATGGACTGAAGATGGCGGCGGAAAAATATGTGCGACATTTAGCTAAGCAACAGAAACAAACTGAGAACTCAAGCGTACAACTAATTAATAACATGTCAATTAGCGCATCGTGAAGACTCCCAAGTGTAAGAATTGTGATCCTTGAGGTATCACAGAAAAAAAACTTTCCTTTCCTTTGTTGATCTGTTTTCCTTCTCGTATTGGCCATGTTATTTTAAACAAAGATATAACAATCAAAACAGCGTTGTTACCTACCATTGTAAACGTTCTTGAATAACGTGATATTTTTGTTTCTTCGTGCACGATTTCCTAGATGTGTTCCTGATTCAATGTTAGTTATTTCCCTTGTGTGAATATTATTGGTAAATATTCATGGCTGAAAGTTTCTCTCTCTTTCTACTAAGGTTATTTTAGTTTCAAATAGGCTTTTGATGTTATAGTCATCAGTTGAGAGCACATGGATTTTCTTTCTTTTAGCAGGCACCAATCAAATTTGTCTAAAAACCAGTTAGCTAGCTTCTTTTAAACTGGTACCAGTTACACCTTCAAACCCATTAAAACAGCGGGCAGCAAAATAGTTTTGTTTTTCACTGCCTGAATATGTCGCCAGCACTGAATGCAACTGACAAATGTTTTAAAAAGACTCTTTTTCAAATTAAGAGCTCGTCATTTCTAAGTCATGAACGAAAATCGACGCAAGGTAGTTTGTAGCCCCGTTTCGACTCTCATTTGTAACAGATTCTGTCAGATTTAAAGTATGCAAATGACAGCTTAGTTATTTTGCCTACTAAAACCGGTTCATCGGATCTTTTACTTTCTTTAAGCAGAGAAATTTGCTGAGAAGTGAGAGAAGTGCGTTTAAAAGCTACTAACTGTTCTTTTAAGAGTGAAATCGAATGATCCTGTCTATGATCTGTGCTAATTCTATTTAATTGTTTTGATTACGTATATTTATTTCCTGCACGTACTTTGCTAATCAAGTGGTCAAGCATTCTGCCGACCTACCTTATAACTCAATCAGAGCCATTGCTAGGAAGCCAACTTAAACTAGCAGATTCCAATTAATCTAAGTTATCATCAGTTTTTCTTATAATAATAAAAATTCTCCTAACTTATTATTGTTTATGCAAAAATTCACTTCGCTGTGAAGACTGATCCCTTGAGTAAGCGGCGGGGAAGTAAGTATCAAATCTTGGCTACAACCTACAGGTTTCATCACAGTGCCCAACTTCGCGAAATGTCGACTAAATCGGACTGTCGTGACGAACAATGCAAGAATCCAGATGGAAAGATATGTTCAAGATATTGGCACATACCGGAAACTCCATAACCACCAACAGCTGTTTAAGAGAGAAAGAACAAGAACAGCACTACGCATGTATGTCCCTTGTGAATTCCAGAGACCACGCTCCTTTTTGGTCAGCTCCAAAAATTGGACAAATGTTCGGTTACCGCTGACCAAAATGCTCCGGTTCAAGGGACGAGATAAACTGAGTTTTATCCCGATTTCATCTCCAGGCTCCTCTCAGACGTTCAAAGACAAATTGGTGGTCATTTTGTTGGAATGGCCGCACGCCATCAGTTGGATATTTTGAGATGCCAGAGAATACCAAGATGTTGTTTCTTTACCCTCCGACAAGATGTATACCGTAGAACCTCTCTGATACGATAAAAAAAGGGAAAGATGGGTGTCCAAACTCTTAGGGGAGGGATGAAGGGCTCCGTATTGTAACGAGCAGAGATTATATGAGTTTTGATCAATGTGAATGACTGATGCCCAAATTTCAAAGGAGATGTCAGCAGGTTTACGCAGAAAACATCAAATTTAGTTTTGGACATCGAATTTGTTTATTTTTTCAGGACGGACCCCTTTGGAATTTGTTGGTCTACATTATATACCTTTTTTAACAAGGTACTTATTTCCTTTCTTTATTAATTAATTAATTTCTTTATTTATTTAGTTATTTTTGCATTATAAGCGACCATATAGATGTACAAGAAAGGATGATGGATAAGATTGTCAATCCTTCATATCAGATTAGGCTTCGTTCCAAAGGATATCCTCCCCAGGTTATTTTTAGACATACCCATTTCTCCCGCGAATAATGTTGCCACGCGCGTCGTGTGAATGTTTTCGCGGAGGATTAAAATGCTTGTAGAGCTGCTTGGGCTGACCACGTGAGTAACATTTTTGCTACAGGATTGACTTTATCAAGATCCTCCTGAGATTTCCGAAACCGGGAGTGATTTGAAAATAACTTGAGCGGGATTAATTTTGAAATAAGGTCAATATGAAGGATTAACTTCATTACCCTTCATCCACTCTTGACATGCAGGGCAGCTCTTACCGCTGATCCTGTAACTTTTGTCTTATCAGTATTCCAAACGGTCGTATCGCTTCTGGTTTAGACTTTCTTCCCACGACGTTGTTTGAATCGCGCAAATACAAAAAATTAATTAAGATAGGACGAATGCAGACTCTCGTGCAAGAGGTTTGGCACTGACGGAGAAATACGACTAGCTTACTTTGTATATTTTATCCTAATTATGGAATTCTCAAACAAGAAAGAATCTGTCGACCTCTGACCACTACTGAATTGAAAATGGTTTAGACGAGCATTGGAGCGCGAAGAAATGTAAGCACGAACCGAGAAGATTCAGGCATGAAATTATTTGTTACATCACAGCCGTCCCAACTCACGATTCGAGGAATCGATCAAGTATTAATGATTTATGCACGCGTATCGAGTGGGGCGTGACCACCTAAAGTGCGCGGTGTTGTGTTACACTTTGGGCGTGAATTAGGCCAAATGGACAACCAAAAAATATGAAATAGGTCAAATGGATAACAGAAACCAGGCAAGGTGAGTATATTTCCTTCATTCTATTCAAAAGAAGTAACATTTTATTTAGTTGCGCGACTTTGCCCTTCGGTATTTTAAACTCCATACAAATGCCTTTTATAGAGCGCTCAAATTCTCAAAGCGTAACACAACACCGCGCACTTTAGGCGTACATAAATCATTAATATTTGATCGATTTCTCAAATCGTGAGTTTGGGACGCCTGTGGTTACACTCACTCGAATAAGGACTAAACTGCTTTGTAGTCGTAATTTACAGTATGATGCGATCATTTCCTTCGTCCCTGAACGTTAAATGTTCAGTTCCCTTACCTTGAGCTGATTTTTTATAATCTTGAATCGTGTTTTCATCCAGCGAATTGGAGCAAAACTAATTGACAAAAGAAATTCAGCAAACTTTCTTTAGTATATGAATAAATTCAACGAACTTGACAATTCCTAGGTGTCGAGAATCTGACATTAGCTTTCATTGTTTGGAATTCAAAGTGTGGGCGGGACTGTATAGCCTAAACAAGGAAAGGAATTTCAGTCGTCATGTTATTTTAGTTTACATCGTCTGTCATGGTGAAATGATAGCACCAAAATTAAACTCTTCTCATAGCTGATATTGCAGTTCCTCGCGACCATGGATAAAACACTGTTTTTAAACCTTTGTAATTATACAGTTATAACATAATTTCTTTCGCCATTTCCTATGCGTTCCTTAAAGTGCACCTAACCCCCAAATTTTTTTTTTCGCTAAAACGAATCTACATGTTATTTTAAATACTTTCGCGAAAAAAATTTTGGATTCGGTTAAATCCTCGATTTTCTGTGCCCCGATGAAATCTCGAAAATAGCCCCAAAACACCGCTATTTTGTTTCACGACCGAGTTTGAGGAGAATGGATCCAGCGGCTGTTGTGACGTCTACCCAGGAAGATCGAATATCTCGCGTCCTCTCATTTCCTTCAGGATGTGCAATACACATTCGAAAAGTGCGCAGAAATGCCTTCCAGACGTGCTATCGGCTGTTGCAGCAATATACCAGATCTAAAAAAAGATATACTGTCAGGAGCCATAATCGGGGACGGAGACCGTAAGTCTCGGGATTCGCGCGCACCTATGATATGGGACAATTTTTCTATTTTTAGAACAAATTGCGCCATCCTGACGTCATAAATCCGCGCGGATCCACGCACATGTCGGAGGCTCCCGCGTGGATGTTGTCACGTTGCGTGATCACATGGTGAGAGTTGAGAGATTCTCTTGCATATTTTTCACA